TATACACGTGAAAATTGAATATATAAAGCGAAATAAATGCAAAGGGAGTTTTTTAAGTGGTTCGGATGCTAAGGAAGCAAGTCCTACGTCCACTGATTTGTATTGATATTAGTGTGGGTCAGGTCGCAACTGCGGACTGACTTACAAAAGAGTTGGAAAAAGTAAATGCGTTTTTACAAGTGAGAGAGAGAGTTTTTTCTCAGTATGAAAATGGCCGAATCCCTTTAATGAAGGGGTCTGCTTCATTTTATACCCAACTGAAGCATGTAATCATCATTAAATCCATGGTTTGGTGTGATTGTCAGGATATAATCCGGCTTTATGTCCCGTTTTCCCTTTCCCAAGCTGACTTCGCACGATTTATCGCAGAGAAATGGACGCGTGTGAGCTCCATATCATTTGGCAGATCTGACGTGTGCGTGTTGCTCTGACGGGAGCAGGTCACCCTTCACGTGACTTTCCCACGTCAGTCCTTTGGTTTCCCAGGCATAACACTCTGAATTCTTTTTTCAATTTCTATCTTTTGTTCAGCATTGGGTACAAATATAGTACTTTGTGTGACATTCTTAAGAAACATGTTCAATATCAATCATTAACATAAGGAAACATGCAAGTAGATTGGTAAATGGAGAAGATAATCTAGTTGGTTAATTGGTTAAATCTCATACCGCGAAATTAAATAGTTATAATATTATGTTTTCTTATTATAAAAGATTTTAGATATTATTACAATATTATGTTTTTGTTTATTATATAGCCTAATTTTTTTTATAAATAAGCAATGTTGATTCAATTATAATCAATTCAATATAATTGAATTCACTAAATTATCTCTTTGAGTCTCCTTTGTTCATAATTTTAACAGAATCTATTTTTTGAACATAATTTCAACAGAATCTATTTTTTGAACTATGTTTTCTCACATATCTATTGGCATCAGAGTAAGAGGCTTGAGTTGTGCTTTTTTTTTTTTTCAATTATTATCTCTAAAAGGAGACAAATGACTCATTTCTGAAAGGCAAAAAACTTTGATTTGTATTTGTGTGATACAAAATGAGTTCTTGAACTGTCTATATGAGGCTTGGAAGTGATTCTTTCAAATAAAAAGATATTCTTCCTTTTAATTCAGAAATGGAGGAGCTAAGAAACAATGAACAAACCCAATGTAATGTACCTAGAATTTTAAACTAACAAATGCTCTAATAAAATGATAAGATAATAAAAAGAAAAAAGTTAAAAAGTAAGGAAAGGACCAGTAGGGAACCAATAAAGAAATAACACGGAATTTTCTTAGAAACCATTTTTAATTTGAATGCAAAATACAAATATATCTTTGGTTTCCCTCCATAAATAGAGATAGAACATCCTAGCTAACGTGTATTAATTTCAATATAAAATGACTTGTGTTTTCTTTTCTAAATAAATGATAATGGATTATAATTCTCTCCTAAGGCACACGCCTTACAAGAAAAGTTGAGCATAAGTAGGTGTATGAGTATCTACTGGAAGTCATATGCTCTTTACTCAATCAACTCAAGAAAAACCTCAATTAATATTCATCCTCACTTTCAAAATTCGAAATCCAGCAGTTGAAAGATTCATTTCCATATAACCACATGATTTTTGGAATAAATTCTGTTAGTGATAACGATGTTGATCATTCAAATATTCAAGAAAACTCAAAGCCAAGTCAGTGAGCTGCGTTTTCGTTAAACCAGTGAGCTGCATTTCATCTATCTTATATTTGAATGTTTGTAATATATGTTTATCTCTTGTAACAACCTTAGATTTGAATGTTTGTAATCTATGTTTATCTCTAGTAACAACCTTAGATTTTCTGAAATTTTGATCTCATCTGAATGTAATTACTCTGGTATAAATATACGCATATACTTTGTGTCTGGTAAGTTTTTCCAGAACAGTTTTGGTTTCTTTCATGGTATCAGGTTTTTCTATAGCTAACGCTACATTCGATCCTATGGCTGCTAATCCTTCATTCTCTTCTGCTGCATTTCATCTTCCAGCTCAAGTTATCTCCATCAAACTTGATGGACCTAACTTCCTTGCCTGGCGTGCTCAATTGGTTCCTCTGTTTCGAAGCTATGGTCTCATGGGAATTGTTGACGGTTCCGCACCGTGTCCTCCCCAATTTTCCAGTGATGACCAACGGGCCGAAGGTATTCTTAACTCTGCTTATGTGGTTTGGCAGTATAAGGAACAAACGGTACTTGGCTGGATTGTTTCTTCCTTGTCTCCGGCGGTGGTTTCCACTATTTATGGCCTTGAGACTTCACAGCTTGCTTGGCAAGCCCTTGGCGCACGTTTTGCGGCGTCGTCAACCTCTCATATTTCCCTTATCAAGAGAAATTTACAATCTTTACAGCAAGGCTCTATGTCTTGCAAAAGTTTCTTGGATGAAGTTAAGTCTCTTGCTAATGAATTAGCTACTGTTGGGAAACCCATTGATGATTCAGATTTAATTCTGTCTGTTCTCAATGGCCTCAACTATTCCTTTCATTCTTTTGTCACAACGTAGATGCTCCTTGCTAAGGAGAAATCTATGCCATTTTCGGATTTTCACGCAGAGTTGTTGAATTATGATCTAATGCAAAAATTTCATAATCCATCTATTCAACCCGAAGCAGGCTCATTTGTCTCTACTCCCACAAACCTGGGTCTAAGCCAGGATCTCGCAACAACAACAAGAGGTCTCGCTTCACGGGAGCATCTAAAGGCTCGGGGACCAACTCTTCGCCATTTCGGCAGCCCCTACCTCACTTGCCGTTCCCTTCTTCTGCTCCACTTGCTCCTTTTGCATCTCGCTCTCGCTCTCCATGTCAAATCTGCAAATGAGAGGGACATCAGGCACTGAATTGCTTTAATCGCATGAATTATTCTTTTCAGGGACGTCATCCTCCAACCGAATTAGCTGTTAATGGTTTCTGAGGCCAATACCACCTACCTTAATCAGCATCAATGGTACGCTGATAGTGGTGCGAATATTCATGTAACTTCTGATGCAGCTAATTTGGAAACTTCTCAGCCTTATGAAGGCACTGATACCGTGGCCGTATGTAATGGGGCAGGTTTGATAATCTCACGTACTAGCAATGCTACTATTAAAACTTCTTCCTTTACTCTTGCCTTAAACGACGTTGCTTATTGCGCTCAAGCTTCTGCCCATCTTCTTTCCATTAATAAATTTTGTAAGGATAATAATGTGTTATTTGAACTTATTGGTTTCAATTTTTTTGTGAAGGACCTCAAGACTGGGGACACGCTCCTGAAGGGGCCCAATGATAGAGGTTTGTACCCGATCAACCTACAACAGCTGTCATCATCTAAACTTCATGCTTTCTCCATGACTGTTGGGGTCAAGGCCTCTACTGCTACTTGGCATTGTCATTTATGACATCCTTCGTCATCTACTTTGCATAATGTTCTTCATAGTTATTCTCTACCTGTTTGTGATTCATTCAATAAAAAGTCTATTTGTGTGTCGTGTCAACTAGTTAAGTCTAAGCAGTTGCCATTTTCTGATTCCTCACAAGAGTCGACTGCCCCTCTAGAGTTAATTCATTCCGATGTCTGGTCCACTTCCACTCCATCTTTCAGTGGTTGTCTCTACTATGTTATTTTTATTGATGACTTTACTCGCTTTTGTTGGCTATATCCCATTTCTCATAAATCTGATGTTTATGCTACATTTGTCAAATTCAAAATTTTAGTAGAGAAGCAATTTAGTTATCCCATTAAGCAATTACAAAGTGACAATGGTGGCGAATACTGTTCCACCATTTTTCAACAATTTCTGAGTAATACTGGGATCTTTCATCAGCTCTCTTGTCCGCATACCTCTCAGCAAAACGGTCTTTCCGAAAGGAAACATCGTCATATAGTTGAAATGAGACTCACTCTCCTTGCGCAATCTGCTTACCTAAGAAATTTTGGGTCGATGCTTTCTTAACTTCCATTTTTATCATTAATCTGTTGCCCACTAAAGTTCTCAATTTTTCTTCACCCTTTGAATGTCTATTTCCTCCAGATTTTAGCTATCTTCATTCCTTTGGGTGTCAATGCTTTCCATGTCTTCGACCTTACATACCTAATAAACTCTCTTACCGTAGCACACAATGCATTTTCATTGGTTATTGTTCTAATCAAAAGGGATTTCGGTACTATGATCTGTGTATATTTCTAGAAATGTGATCTTTGATGAGGCAGTGTTCCCTGCTCGTGTACAATCTTATATCATGGACTCTAGTAGTAGCGTTCCCTCAATAGGTAATTCTCCACCCTTACTTCCTTTTCCACCTTCACACATATTTCCCTCATCTTCTCATTTCACTTCGATTTCACCACCCCACACTACTCCTATAATTCCTATTGACCATGACTTCTCCATTCCACTAGACACTCCACCAGGCATTGCCTCTCTTGTTTCCTCTTCTCCGAGCAACATCCTTGAGCCCCCACCTCCTGCTCCTACCAGTTTAGCCCCTTCATTTCATGTTGTCACTAGATCACAAACTGGTCATCTTAAGCTCCGCACCTACCTTGATTTTCATCTCTATTACTCAACACGTCACCCCCTTCGAGTTTTGCATGTAGGTGTGATTATTTCCGAGCCCTGTTCCTACGCTCAAGCTACTGATATACCTGAATGGCATTCAGTTATGGAGTCTGAATTCCAAGCTTTGTTGAAGAATCAAACCTGGACTTTATGTCCCCGTCCACCTGGCAAAAATGTTGTTCTGAGTAAGTGGGTTTTTAAATCCAAACGCAGACCAAATGGAAGTATTGAAAGGCTCAAATCACGACTAGTTGCAGTTGGTTATCTCCAGCATAGTGGTATTGATTTCTTTGACACATTCAGCCCAGTTATTAAACCTTCCACAGTTCGCATGGTCCTCTCCCTTGCTGTCTCGTTTGATTGGGACATTCGACAACTAGATGTGTCTAACGCTTTCCTTCATGGAATTTTGGATTAGGGAGTTTATATGGTTCAACCTAAAGGTTTTGAAGATCCTACCAATCCACAGTTTGTGTGTAAGTTGCATAACTCTATTTACGAATTAAAACAAGCTCCTCGGGCTTGGTTTAATTGCTTATCCACTGCACTTTTATCTCTTGGATTTGTAAGCTCTCAGGTTGATCCCTCTCTGTTCACTTATCACAGTGACTCTACACATGCCTTCCTGCTAGTTTACGTGGACGACATTCTCGTGACATCTAATGTTCAGTTGTTTATTGATGAGTTGATCTCTAGTCTTCAGCTGGACTTTGCTATGAAAGATCTTGGGCAGTTATCATACTTCCTTAGTATTGAAGCTACTCGTGATTCTTCCGGTTTACATCTTCGGCAGACCAGATATATTATTGATCTCTTGGATCGTGTCAATCTCATTGGCATCCGTCCTTATCGTGCCCCATGTGTTTCAGGTACTAAGCTATCCAAATTTGATGGAGACCCCTTGCTTGATCCTTCCGAATATCGTCACACAGTCGGTGCTTTAAAATATGTAACTCTTAATTGCCCAGATATCGCCTACTCCATGAATCAACTTTGCCAACATATGCAAGCACCAACTACAGCTCATTGGACTGCAGCCAAGCATGTCCTACGTTACTTGAAAAATACTCTGGACTTTGGCCTCTTTTACAGACCTGGTTCTTTCTCCATTAACGCATATTGTGACTCGGATTGGATCGGTGATCCCGATGATAGACGTTCAACGTGTGGCTATGGTGTTTTTGTTGGTCTCAATCTTATCTCGTGGTCGGCGAAGAAACAACCAGTGGTCTCTAAATCAAGCACTAAGGCCGAATATAGATGTCTGGCTCTAGTTACAACTGAAGTGTATTGGCTGCGTATGCTGTTATGTGAACTGCAGATTTCTCTTGATTCACCTCCTGTTATTTGGTGCGATAACATTAGTGCCCTTGCAATTGCCTCCAATCCTATTTTTTATGCACGTTCTAAGCATATCAAGGTGGACTACCATTTTGTGCGTGAGAAATTCGCACACCGAGACATCATTTTGGAGAATATTTCAACTTCTATTCAGCCTACATATATTTTCACCAAAGGGCATACAGCTGATAGATTTTGTTTCCTTCGTGATAAAATGGCTATCTGCGATCTTCCCGCCAGTTTGCGGGGGAATGTTAGTGATAACGATGCTGATCATTCAAATATTCAAGAAAACTCAAAGCCAAGTCAGTGAGCTGCGTTTCCATTAAACCAGTGAGCTGCATTTCATCTATCTTATATTTGAATATTTGTAATATATGTTTATCTTTTGCAACAACCTTAGATTTGAATGTTTGTAATCTATGTTTATCTCTTATAACAACCTTAGATTTTCTGAGGTTTTGATCTCATCTGAATGTAATTACTCTGGTATAAATATACGCATATACTCTGTATCTGGTAAGTTTTTCCAGAACAGTTTTGGTTTCTTTCAAATTCACCTCATAAAATTCAAATATGTAACACTCCCTATAAATACTATATTAAAACCCCGAAAAAGGAGCTGGGAGTTTTTTTGGGAAAGATCAATATTGAGAACAGTAATACTACACTCACAAACCTTTCTCACTAAATTTCTCTTACAAATTCGACGTGTTAGCTCGTAATTGGTCAGTTCACACTCTCTGCCCAACAATGGGTTCCACCTGACCAGATGCGAACTGACTAATTGCGAGCTGTCACATCAGTGTTGGTGAGAGAAAGTTGTGAGAAATGTTTGTCAACCTATCTTTATTCTATTGAGAAAAGAGAGAAAGCCAATTTCATCGGTTATTGTATTCAATTATATCACTCAGTCTTCAATAAAAAAGAGGAAACCTTAGTAGGCTATGTTCAACATTGAGCCGAACCACTTAAAAAATTCATTTTTCTTTATCATCTTGTTTAACATTACTTATATGCACTCCGACATTGTCTAGAATAGTCGTGCTTCTCATCGTTACCTCCCTAAAGTCACACGCTCATCTTACCCGATTCCCCTGCAGTCAACTGATTATCTCTGGTTGGTGTGGATTTCCGCATCAATAAACCTAATTGTCATTAATGAAAACCAACAAGAACATAAATAGTTAGAATGCACTGGACTATCAAGTATAATACTATCTACCATGGTCTACCATGCTATAATTAGACTGTTAAACCGTATACTTAAATGTTAGACTATTGACTCTTGCATAATCTAGCGTTATATGTTAGAAAACATATCATATGTTGTTCTATTAAGGGATATAGTTAGTAAGTCACCAAATTTTATGACTAGATTATTGAGTCGGCTAGATATGTCAAAACCCCTTATTTTTTTGTATCATTGTAATTGATAAATTTTTTAAATAAATATTTATATGACATATTTTTAATAGGTAAATGTAGGGGTGTTCAAAAGAACTAGTTGGAATTGAAATCGGCGGGTACCCTGGGTTTGGTTTCGGTTCCTACCCAGAATCAGTCGTCAATGGGTAGGTTCCGGTTCCAAATTTTTAGAACCGGAACCAGGAACCAGGAATCGAGACTGATATAAAATAAAATTAAAGATTATGGGGGTTAATAAAACTGTGACGGCCCATTCTGCACCCTGGGCTGGGCTGGGACTTCAACCCACTTCTCTTTTCACTTCTGGATATCTCCCCCCCCTTAAGGGATTTCTTTCGCCTTCCCCACCACTCGAACCCAAGACCAAGGGGTCAAAGTCATTTGGGAAGCATGGTGAGTACCATCAGGCAAGATTGGGAAAGCCCATGAGGGAAAGAGCCCAAGATTGGGATAGCCCATGAGCCGAATCCGGGTCCTCACAAAAACTTTTGTAGAAAAACTAATGTGAATACATTTATATTTATATTTCATAATATTTAAAGTAAGTTGGTTTGACTTTTGAGAATCTACCTTTACAAAGTAATGGAGTTTGTAATTTTGAATTTATAATTTGTAATTTTATTTTTGTTAACAAGTGCCAGGTGGGGGGGTATTTGTAAGTTTTTAAGGGTTTTTTTTGCCATTTTAAAAACTTTTGGGGGGTCATGAATTTTACAGGGTACCCAGAACCAGAACCGGAACCGTTGTTACAGGTTCTAGTTCTAGGTACCTAGGAATCGGAACTGTCGATTCTGGTTCTAGTTCCAAATTTCAAGGAACCGTCGGTTTCGGTTTCGATTCCTTTAAAAAGTGTAGGGTACCCGGAACCGAACACCCCTAGGTAAATGTATGGGGATGTACTTTTTTTTCATTTTTTGATATTTTCGAATTTGTAAAGCCACTGGATCGGTATAAATTGACAATATAGTCCTCCTTCAATTCAATAAAAAAATCATCAATTATCTAGCTAATATTGTAGTATAACTATAACCCACTTTTTAATGCTTGCTAATCCTCATGAGGTTTTCTTCCACTCTCAGAACAATGGGCACCAAAATCCTAACTCTTCAGGCAGGCCTACATAAACACGATGGGCCGATCCAGAAATTTTTTACAGCTTATGTGAGCCCAGTACAGCTTCTTCAACAATTGTTTTGGGCTACAAATTCAAAACCCAATTCATTGATAATTTCTGGGCCGAAAACTCAATCCCATGTTTGTATGAAATTTGAAGATATTACCAATAAGTATATAAAGTTTAGGTATTGAATCCCAACATAACAAGAAATATATTTTGTCCCTATGCTGCTATCTTCATGTTTGTATTCATAAAGTACTTTGGTTTTATTGCAATTATTTTTTATATATATATTTCCTCTTGAAAGAGTCAAAGAAATGTTTGGTCTTATAAACTCTTATATTATCAAGAGTAAATTGTTATGCAGCAAAATTTTTTATCTGTAGCTCACATAAAACTCTTGATTTTATTTGGTACGACTTATTGAAGTGAAACTTACTAAAATTAGTCTTATAAAAATGACACTTTCATAAAAAATAAAAATAAAAATTGGCTTGTTGTTTGGTTTAATATATGTAAAAAAAAGCCTTTTGTACTAAAATGTACGTTAATATAAAAGAAAAAAATAACTTAAAATTTTTGAATTACGTGGGCGCATATTTAATGTCTTATATGAACCAAAAAAACAAAAAAAATTATAGAAGAAGCTTAAAAGTAATTTTAAAACAAATTCATTTGATCACCCATAAATTTTTCTTAAGCTACAATTAAACAACATAAACAAATTTACAAAATAATTTTTAACGCAAAAATTAGATCTTTCAATCAATAGATAAATCAAATCAAACAAAACTAAAAAAGAAATTAAAAAAAAAAAAAAAAGACTAACCAATATCTTAGCATGTTAATCTCCAATAGTCTAATTAATATAGGAATGAAATTAATAATCATAATGATCAATATCTAGCCACATGGTGAGATGTATCATTATGTCTTCCTACTTAATTGGAGAAATTTTCTAAGCTATATAAATATTAATTAATAACCCACTAAGAGCATTTCGCATCCTAACTCCATTTTTATTTTTCTCAGTGTGTCTCAAATCATTAATGCCAATATAATGAAGTTTGACAACTAGTTACAATATTAATTGATATTTAATAGTGACTATATGTAAGTATAATAACTAAAGACGTATGATGATGTTGGTGATCTAATTCATGAAAAGAAAATATTTCATATTTGTGTTATAATAAATTAAACGTTAGATCGATTAATTATGATAATCATAAATTCTTAACACGTGCAATATAAGGGTTAATGTGTAATTGATTTAGAGTAATTAAGATTAGCAAAATAATTGTAAAGGAATACTTTAGTGGAGACCATAATGCTTCCACTTTGCATTATTTTCAAAGATATCACTTAAATACTTTGAGTAGCTCTTAGATCTTCAATGCATTATTTAAACAAAAAATAAATGGATAAATATGTACAAAATATCAATTTGATAAATGTTTAATAAATAAGATAAATGATATGATAAGAAAATAGTACCACTACATATGCCCGTTTGTATATAGAACATGTATGTGCAATGACAGTATTCATAATGAAAATTCTTAGGTGAGATATATGTATTTCTTATAATTTATCGACTTAGTTATTAAAATTACATCATATGTACTTTTTTTTTTTTTTTTTATCACGTTATCGTCATCATCATAATTGACTACAATGATCATAAAATTCAATTTATTGGTCAACCTCAAATAATTAATAATACTTCATTGATTTAAACAAGTTAAATTATATTATCAATTTGATAATGTTATTGAATTAATATTAATCATTAAACATATTTATTTATCTACTTCAATGAAACTATTAGTATTCCCTTTCTCACTCTTTGGTATGAAAATGTGGATTGATAGATTTTGAAAATACTAATTTATGAACCGTTTTAATTTTCATTTATGAAAAATGAAAGGACGAACAGATTAATTTCTCATCAAAAAATTGTTATTTTGTTCAAAATTCTCAATTCATAAAATGTTTTAATTTAATGTATATTTATTAAATTGATTTTTCATATTAATTCTTCCAATCATAATCAGATACGACACTTCGTATAAATGACTTTGTATAAAGTTTAATCAGATACGTGACTCCATATAAATGACTTTATACAAAGTTTTTATAAATGTAGCATTATTCTATCTAGAGATATTGGTCTTAGAAGTAAAAAGAATTTGTTAATTATATATATGATTGTCATATATTATAAATTAACCAAATCAGGACAAAAATTTTGCAAATTAAGAGGTCCTATATTACATATATTCTCCACTAAAACATTCTACAAATAAATAATATGACATTGATGATGTCTTATATATTCTCTCCAACTGATGAAATTGGCCTTAAAAGTGCTTATAATGGAGANTCTTCCTACTTAATTGGAGAAATTTTCTAAGCTATATAAATATTCATTAATAACCCACTAAGAGCATAACACACACTAACTCAATTTTTATTTTTCTCGGTGTGTCTCAAATCATTAATGCCAATATAATGAAGTTTGACAACTAGTTACAATATTAATTGATATTTAATAGTGACTATATGTAAGTATAATAATTAAAGACATATGATGATGTTGGTGATCTAATTCATGAAAAGAACATATTTCATATTTGTGTTATAATAAATTAAACGATAGATTGATTAATTATGGTAACCATCAATTCCTAACACGTGCAATATAAGGGTTAATGTGTAATTGATTTAGAGTAATTAAGATTAGCAAAATTATTATAAAGGAGTAC